TGGTGAGCCGTGATTGAAACACCTATGCTCAGTCTCAGTTCACGCCCTCCCCTGCCCTTGGGCGGGTGCGGCCCCATGCTGCCACTCCGACTCAGGCTGGATTGCAAGGTGCCAACTCCCACCCCTCAACTCTACTGTCGACCACCCCCCCCCACCCCAGGGGCCCTGTTATCTGCTACCACTGCCTGCTTGGCCCAGGTTCTCAAAGTCACCCCAGCAGAACAAGATCCCAGTGAATCTGAGGCATTGTGGAATTCTGCAGTTAACAGAGAACTACACTACAACCTCGCTGCTATTAAAGAGAGAGTCCTTCCGCTCCACGAACCTTCCTGGTCTGGGGCGAGTGGGCAAGTCTCTCTACCTCGCTTCCAATGAAAGATTTCACTGGGTGTTTCACAGACATGCCCCGTCCCCACACCCCCAGAGTAGTTTTTTAACCCTCATTCGTATCACCCCAGCCTTGATCTCCTTTATTAAGCAGCTCTAAGTAAATCTTGTTCCTATCCCCTCCCCAGACCTGTGACCGTATCAAACAATCTTCAGCTGGCACCAAGAGGCGGGTGTTCATCATCGAGACCATGGGAGGGTACTGCGGCTACCTGGCCACCATGGCAGGCCTGGCTTCAGGAGCGGACGCGGCTTATATTTTTGAAGATCCCTTCACCATCCGCGACTTACAGGTGAGAGTCTCTTTACCTACCACCAACTCTTCTGTTCCCCTGTGCTCAAGTAGACAACACAAGTACACTGTACATAGACTTCTTCACCTGGAGTCCAAGCATCCTCCACTGGACAGGCATGGAGCTGCAGCTGAAAGCGCAGTGGGTTTAGTACTGAGAACCAACAGGGCCTGATGGTCTGACCCACCCCCATTCAGTGTGGTGCTCTGCTCTCCCTCGAGTGGTGGATGGGATAGCACCACATATAGGTTGATGAGCCTGCTACAGACTTGGCTAAGAGCGATGGACTTTTTAGCTCAGCCAGTGGAGTCTCGCGGTCAAGAGACCCCAGGTTTGTTCCCCACTGCTGACGAGCCACCCAGGGCCATGGCATTCCAGAGACTTCAAGGCAAGTTCACCCCTGGCAGAAACAAGTGCAAGTCCACCAAAGGCAATGGAGCAGTGCCTGCTTAATTCAGCCCTTGGCCCGTATCCCGGAGGGCAGAGATGCAAACTAATCGGAGGGTCTCAGTGTCCCGGGATCCCACAGAGGTCGGTGTGGACGGACTTGTCCCACTTCCTGCTGGAAAGGCTCGTGTCAGGCCAGGGAGCAAATGTTGCTCTCAGTGACCCTGATCTAAATCCAGAGCAAGGCCCTGGGCTGCAGTGGAGTTATTCCGGCTTTCGGAGGGCCTGGGTCTTAGGGTACGTCTATCCCCAGCCGCTAGTTCGGCGGCTGGCAATCGAACTTCTGGGTTCGACCTTTTTCCGCCTTTTTTGGGGCGGCCAAGCGGAACCCCGAAGGGTCCCCCCCCGCCCCGCGGGCCCCCCCACCGCGAGGGGAGGA